AAGCTATGGAAAATTCTAGGTCCTCTCAAAAAACTGAAACCCTGTATCAAGAAACAGAATACACTCATCATAATGTATACCAGTAACACATGCTTGACAGTTCTTAACATTCCTCTATTTAGTATGCTGGCTAATTTTATGTGAACTTTACACAAGCTAAAGTCATCTGAGAGGAGGGAACCTCAACTAAGAAAATGCCTCTGCAATGGGAAAGTTGGCCCCACACCTCACCATGCCTGCTGGAGAGCTGGCCCTGACCCTTGCCTGAAGTAGTTAGTCCTGGTGGAGGCCCAAACCCAGGGCCATGGTTTGGTCCATCCCAACATCTACCCCATCTATGACCTGCTGAAGCGTGTGAAGGGACCAGTCCTGCAGGACCACAGCTGGAAGGTCTCCATGTCTGGGGCAACAGCAGGATATCTGAAGTTTCAATAAGGAAGGGTTCAGCACTGATGGTGTAGCAGAAGAGAGGCCTTGAACCAGACCAACAACTCATCACAGCGAACAATTACAAGCAAAAAGTATACTGTGTGACACACCACAGCTCTCAATGCCACTATGACAATATTATCATGGGGAGGTGGGAAAAGACAGAGGAGCAAATTTTTTTGCTGTTATTTTGTTTCTTTTTTTGGGGAGGGGGCTACAGGGTGAAGCCAACATGGAAGGACTGGGAAATGAGTGGAATTGGGGTGCATGATGTGAACTTCCCAAAGACTCAAAATTTTAAAATTACGTTAAAAAAGAGCCTCTGCATCAGCTCCAGCCTGTTGCATATAATCATGCATATAATAAAATACACCTAAAGAACTGTATTTCAGAGCCTAGAATTTCTTCTGAGCTCTGTGTTTGAGAAAGGGAAACCACTAATGATAGAGAGAATTTAGAAAAGAAAACACCATTGCCCTTGGCTCCACTTAGCACTCTGGGGTCAATTTCAAATTCATGTTGTCTTCTTGCCTTTGTGTGTATGTGTGCAGATGATGTGTATGGATACAGATGCACATGTGTACATGCATGTGCAGATCAGAGCACAACCTCAGGTGTCAGCTCTCAGACATGGTTCACCTTTTTTTGAGACAAAGTCACTGGACTGGGAATCAGCAAGTAGGCTAGGCTGGCTACAAGTCCCAGGAACACACTTGCCTTTTCCGTCCCTGCCCTGGGATTTACAAGCACACTCCAATACTTTCTCTCTCTCCCCATCTATCCCTGGGATTACAAGCACACTCCAACTCACTCTCTTTCAGAGAGAGAGAGAGAGAGAGAGAGAGAGAGAGAGAGAGAGAGAGAGAGAGAATGTTTAAAGAAATGGATGCAGAAGCTCAAACTCACTGAGGTCCTCAAACTTTACCAACTGAACTATTTCCCCAGTCTGCTCTCCTGAGCCTGCAGTAGTCAGTAGTCTTGTGTGGTCCACCCTCAAGTTTTCAACCCAAACATCCTGCAAAAGATGGCACTAGCCTTAAAGCAACACCTTCAATAGGTCAATGAAGCCACATGGCATTGTAGAGGCCATTTGAAAAAAACAAAAAGGAGTTTCTGCTTATCCTCAGCCAACGGGAAAATAGTCTTACTGTAGTATGATGTCACACATATACTCTATAATTTAACAGCTGCCAACCACATACCCTGATGCCTTCAAATTCTTCCTTTCAATAAGAGACATTACTAATTACACCGAACAAAGCAACACGGGGAAATCTGGTATTGACAGCTGACCACACTTCTGGGTGGTACTGTATCAAAGAGATAGTATACATACCAAGCCGTGGCATAACAGCTCCCAGAAACTGCTCATCTTCTTGGAAGTGGTTCTCTTGTAAAGATTCCAGCAATTTCTGCAAGACATTTTGGGGCACTTTGCAGCCTGTGCCTTTCAGTTCAGTAAACCTGGTTAGGCGGAAGCTCTTGTCCAGTTCATAACTTTCCGGGTTAAAGGACTCCCGAGTAGACATGGTTTTGGGGCCACACTCTTCACAGTTCAGCCCCTCCCCTTCCTCTCTTTTGATCCACTGCGCTTTCTACTTGGGATCCACCTAGGCACCAGCAAAACACAGAAAGACACTGTTAAAAGACTCTGAATTGTATCTGTCAGGAATCAAGTGAATGAACACACATTAGGGAAGGTACAGGGACTGGAACTGCCTAGACTACAGGGAAATACTTGTTGGTCAAGCTGGAGTACCCGATGATGGGTACCATCATGGATACCTACTGAAGCCCTGAGGCGGGAGTGTGATTATAACGATGGCTCCCCCTGCCACTTGGGCGGTTAACTAAAGTTCTTCTGGGTCCAGGGCTAAGAGAACTAATATTCACTATGTCAGCCTGAAAGTCTATACTTTAGAAACCAGCGGTGCTAGCTACAGTGACTTTTCTGGAAAACTTCTGTCTTTCCCTCGCCATCAGAAGCTGCGAAAGTGGGACACAGATGCAGCCCATGGATTGGTTTTTTTTTTTTTTTTTTTTTTCAATTGAGACAGAGCCCTCTACATAGTTCTGACTGTCTTGGAATTCACTATGTAGACCAGATTGGCCTCACAGGGATGAGCCTGCCTTTGCTTCCCAAATGCTGGGATTAAGGGATCCACCATTACACCTAGCAAAATTCTTCAAGATCCTAAATCCTAATTTTAAAAACAACACTGTGCCAAACTAACGGTCTTGAGAAGTCACTGAAGAACACTACTTAAAAACAAACAAACAAAAAAAAAAAAGAAAGAAAACACCCAAACACTTCCAACAGCAGCAAACACAGTAAAGTCTGTGTTCAGGAGGGTGCGTGTAAAGTCCTCTGATGTTCTGATGCTTTTAGCATTCCTAGAAAGCAAACATCCCGCCCAACACGTACCATTAACTAAACACACTACTCCTCATTCCGAGCTCGTTACAAAATGAAACAGTATCACACGAAATCACTAGTATTAGCGATTCTGGGTACCACTCACTGCGCTTCTGGCACATGTTCTTCTGTTTGCAGCCTTCCATCCAAATCAAAATGCATAAGTGCTCCCGGGGTTTACAAACTTTCTGACTGATGCTTTATTGGGCATAGGATTACATACACCCTAAGTTTTAGGGCCGGTTTCTCCTATAAAATTTATGATTGAGAACATAATTCCCATTTACAGAGTTTTCCAACCCCTGGGAAGCATATCACTCATTTAAAATAAATTTCACAAAGCCCAAATTTGGGCAGCAATCCAAACGGTCGTTACAAACATAACGTGAGCAATGATTTCAGCGGGAAACTACACAGACTTCGCACATCATTCAAAGAAGCCAAACTTCTCTTGCAGACAGGATGAACCGAGCACGTTACCGAGATGGGAATGTTGAGGCTAGTTTGGAAAACATGCAAATTACAATTCAACTTCGAAGAAAAGTTTGGAACGAGGGAGGAAAAAAGTCTTGCATTTAACCCTAGTCAACTCTACCAGGCACAAAACCGGAAAACTGCATTCCATAAGGAATCTTTTCTTCCTACCTCCAATCCTATGCCCTCAAGGCAAAGGAAGGAAAGGGATTCTGAAGAGTCCCTTCCTTTTACAGGTATTTTTCTATACTTTCTGTTTAGGAAAGTTTAAAAAAACAAAACACCTTACATCAAGGAAACTCAGTTCTAAAACTCAAGTCTAAGGAGACCTAAAATCACACGGGCTTAACCGCAAAGAAAACTCGAGCTATTTGGGGGGGAGGATGAAATTGGGAAGGGCTTGGGGGGGGGGAGAGTAAGTCCGACCTGGAAGCCACATGTTTACACCTTTAAAACAATGACATGAATATTTAAAGATCGCGTTTAACCCCTTCGCACCCGCACGCGGGGCGGGCTCAGGCAACGGGGCGCAGCGGGGCAGCAGACCTACCTCACCGCCAGGCCCCCGGCCCCGAGCGTGCACACAGTCCCGGGAGCCGCGTCGTGCCTGCCGAGGCCCCGCGCCCTCCATGCGGCCGGACGCGGAGGATGCCACCCAGGGGACACCTTAAATCGCGGGCTGCCGCCTTTAAAGGCACGGCGGGCGCGGGCCGCGTCCTTTGTACCGTGCGGCGCCGCGGGCACGGCCATGCCACGCCACAGGCCCGGCGTCGCCGCAGCCGTGGTGACCGTCGCCGGCGGGGACCGGAGGGACACGAGGGCCGAGTGGGGGCGGGGAGGCCCGAGGCGCAGCGCCAGGACACCGGAGGCCACGGCGCTACGCGCGCGCGCGCGCGGGCTCCCCGGCCGCGCCGCCACACAAAAATGTCGGCGGGCGAAAAGATTAACCCCTGCGTGGCCGCCGCCGCCCTCCCCCTCCGCTCCTCCCTCCTTTCCCGGCCCCGCGTGCCGCGGCGGCGACGGCGGAGGAGGCAGCGGCGCGGGCGGCGCTTCTTTTTAAAGCGGCCCCACCAAACCCTGGGCTCGGCCCCTCTCCAGGCAGGGCGCGCGAAGGGCCCCGGTGCACGGCTCCCCGGCCGTCCCGGGCGGCCCGGAGGGGGATTTGCAACGGCCGCGCCGGGCCTGCGGCCCGATATTCCCCTTTAAGCCTGCTGTCTCGCCCCCCCTCGCCAGGCCCGCCGCTTACCGGCTCGCTTTGCGCCCTCCGCCTCCTCCCGAAAACGGGCCGCGGCGCTCCCACAATGCACCGGGTGCGCCGGGCTCCCTTAAGCATCGCCTGAATAAAAATGCTGCTCCCGGTGGCTGCGGCACGGCCCCGCGCTTGGACGCCGCGTGGAACTCGGCCTAGGCTGGGCGCGGCCCTCCGGGAACCGGGCCGCCGCGCTCCCGCCGGCCGGGCGCGCGAGGGTCCCTTTAAGAGCGGCCACCTCCCTTTAAGAGGCGGCGAGCCGGTGGCCTGAGCGACTCGGTGTTGCTGGTGGCGGTGGCGGCGGTGGTGGTGGCTGCGTGCGGCCCGGGAAGGGGGCGGGGGCGCTGTGCAGAGGCCCGAGCGCGGCAATGATTGGTCTCGGGGGAGGGGTGGGGGGTTGCAAACCCAAGGAACGGTGGCATCCGTTGCATGATCCAAAAAAAAAAAAAAAGAGGGGTAGATTAATTTCAAAAGTTGCGAGTTGCATTTGTAGCAACCTTGAGTGATAGGGCCACCTACTTTCCCACTCCACCGATCCGCGGGAAAGGACCAGAGTGTTTTTTGCACAACCTGGCCGGGTGCGACCTCTGCAACACCCACGGGACGCAGTACCTGCTCCCGGATCTCTGCTGCTTCGAGACAGTGACCGTGGGAACAATTTGCAGAGGCGTGCAGGAGCCAAGGACAAACGCCTTAGCTCCAGTGAGACATTTCAAAAATCAACTTAAACCCGCGCTTCATTCTCAGTGACTCCCATCTTTTCCTCATTCTATTGTTTAAGCGTAGCTCCGCAGTTCATGGGAGTCCCCGTGGAATGTGCAATTGCCCTGTAAGTTTCTTGAATATTTGATGCGCATTTGGTGGGATTTGGGGGTTATGTTGCCCAGTTGCATCATTTGTTCTTCCCGTGTCCTAAACATGGCAGACTAATCCCTTGTGCTTGAATTGACATTGGTGATGCGGTTTCACTTCACGAAGTAACTTCAGATTTCCGACTTTGTAACGCGTTGCGGATGCAAAGTGCCTTCATTCGAAGGACTTCCCTGGAAAGCTGAGCAGCGCGAACTTGGTTTGGGCTACGTTCTCGTGTTCCAAGTTATTTGAGAGCAGAATCGTTGGGGGTAACCGAACAGGGCTTTTATGGCTGCTTTAGGTTGGCACGCCCACACAGATGTCCTTTTCATCCCCGAAATTGCCACTTTCTTAGGGCTGGAATCTAGGATGCCAAGTGTGGCCAGATGGACGCAGGCGCCTCCTGTCTTTGTGTCCACAATGCATTTGGGAGAATACAGCAGCACCTGGGCTCGGTAGCATTAGATTTCTGAACATCGAACATGGAGTTTTCTGTGAATGGTCAGGAGAGAGGGCGCAAACACAATCACCAGGTACCACTCTAGGACTCCGGAACCAGAGGAAAAGAGTTATAAGGATACCTTTGTCCCTTTCTGCCTTTTAAATGTGAGTTTGCGTTTTGAACGATTTGACTTTTTTTTTTTTTTTTGACCCTCAGTTTTAGAAAAGTGATTCTATTTATTTATTTTGCAGAAGGTTTCACGATGAAAGAGTGAAAAAAGAAAAGCTTTGGGATGTGGAGGATTCATGACACAGCAGAGGTCAGTAGAGATTTGTGTGTCACCACGAGGAGTTTTAGCTCTGTGCTTATGTTAAAGGATGCTCCTTCCCAGCGGAGATGAAGAAGCCATGCTCTAGTTAGGGGGTTATTGTGCTAATGAAACTGTGCTAAGTCTGCTCATGTATTTGAACGGAGAGTGAGGGGGGAGCCACCAAAGGACAGGATTTGATGTGACTTAATGTGCACGGAAGAGAGAAGTAAGCATCAAATCCCCCAGTTTTTAATTTTGGGAAGTGGATGACTCATGAGTGAGTGATACTTCTGAGCAGAAGCCACTGGGAAGCAAACAAGTCTTGGGACTAAGTGCAGCCTTCCAGGTGCTGGGTTCTATGCCTGCTGAATACTCCAGGTAATGGAGAAGCCAGCTTGGCATTTGAGAGGCAAATCTCCATGTCATCAGCAAGTAAATGACACCTTAAGCCTCAAGGAGAGGTAGGATTAATGCAGAGGGAGATCTCCGGACGGAGCACAGTTGGAAGTGCAAGACCTGGGTGAGCCAAGGCACATCCCTGCCGGTAGGTAAGCAAGTACCTCCGGATGCATCCCTTTCTCCTCCTGACCATGGGCTGGAGACCTTCAGCAGCTGGGAAACAATTCTCTGCCTCTCACAGTCCTGGGGATGGAACCCAGGACCTCAGGCGTGCTAGGCCAGAGTTCTACCTCTGAGCTCTACACTCTAGCCCCAAAACAGTTCTCTGACTCATCTGGAGCAGCACCAGACATGTGTGACTAGCTAATCCAGTGGACCACTGTCCCTCCCTCCTGTGCCCCATGATGCCTTTCCCACATGTATTACTTCACTACCACCTTCCCTCCACGCCTTTTTCCTGTCAACCTGTCCTTCTGAAGGCTCACCTGAAGAGCTAGCTCCTCAGAAGCCCATTTCAAGGAACCACCTCCCTAATATCCCCAGATCCTACTGACTCCATCTGAAATGGAGTTCCTCTGGTTTAATAAGCTAAGATTTATGAAAAATAAGAATTTACCAGCTAACCTCCAAAAAGTTACATCTGGCAGGTGCCAATGAGTTGGGTTGTATCCTCCCATCCTCAAAAAGATATGTTAAGTCACACCACACTGGCACAGTACATACAAATGTGGCTACATTTAGAAATAGGGCTAGCCAGAGTTTAACTTCCCAGCACATGTGAGGCTCTGGGTTCCAGCCCTAGCATTGTCAAAAACAGTAAACTCTTGTAGAAATGGGGTCTTTGCAAATGAAATCAAGTTAAAATCAATCAGGATAAATTCAGATGGGTCTTAAATCTAATGGCTGGTAGTGTTCTATGAAAAAAGAATCAGGATGGGGAGATGGTTCCGTGGGAATGTTTGCTGTACAAGCCTGATAACCTGGGTTCGAATCCCCCAATCCATATAAAAGTCCACTTAACACACTTAAAAGCTAGTGCAGGTGTCTGTCATACCAGCATGCTTATGGTGAGGTGGGAGGCAGCCAGCCTGGCTTTCACAATAACAAAGAGACCTTGTCTCAGATAAAGTAGAAAAGCAAAGGCTGGCACCTAAGTTTATCTTCTAGCCTTCTATATGTGTGCATCACTCATGATACGCAGCCAGTACACAAACATACCAAAAGAAAAAAAAGAGAGCCAGACATGTTGGTACAAACCTGTAATCCCAGCACTTGTGAAGCAGAAGCAGATCATGGGTTTTAGCCCAGCCTGTGCTACGAAGCGAGACCTGTCACCCCTTACCCCCCCCAAAAAAGTAAGGAAAGGGTATTGGAGAGAGGTCTCTTAAGAGCACTTGATGCTCTTGGAAAGGACATGAATTTGATTTCCAGCACCACAAGGGTCATTATCTCTAACTCCAGTTCCAGGGGATCCAATGCTCTCTCCTGACCTCCTTGGGCACCAGGTGTAGTTGGCATTTTCTTTGGGTTGCCAACCAGCTCCCAAATAAAGACAGGGAAATTTATTAAGAATGAATGCTTGGCTTTAGCTTGGGCTTGTCCCACTAGCTCTTTTAACTCAATTTAACCAGTTTCTACTCATCTGTGTTTTGCCTTGTGACTGTTTTCGTCTCCCTCCACCTCTGGATGGCCCCTGGAATCTCCTTGTCTTCTCTTTTTTCTCTCCTGAGCCTAAATTACTCCTCCTTCCTACTCTCTCTGCCTGAAGCCCTGCTTTTACTTCCTCCCCTAGCTATTGACTGTTCAGCTTTATTAAAACAGGTGCCTTAGGTGAGCAAGGTAAAACAGCAACAACACTTCTTTACATCTTTGCATGGTTAAATATTCCACAACAACTAGGCACGGATGTGGTGCATATGTAGATTTGAAGAATGGGCACATACAGGTGCTATATGAAGACAATGGCCACAAGGAAATAGCCCCAGGGTAGCCAGCCAACACTAGCTTCTGGAAGAGACAAGGAAAGTGTCTTCCCTAGAACAGAAGGAACAAGCTCCACCACAGGGACAGACACAGTTCAGCACTGTCACCCTCTGCAACCTGAGGAATGTCCCATGATTGGTTAGGGAATTTGACCCAGGTAAAACCAGATCCTCAACTTCCACACAAAACAATCTCAGGACTGCTCAGAATTGGAGTATTAAAAACAGACAGAGAAAGAAAAAAGCCACACAGAGCATGAATGTGGGCGTCTCAAGAGTTATGGTATATTAAATGGCATTTTAAATGCATTTTTAAAGGTATTTATTTATTTATTTATTATGTGCATTGGGGTTTTGCCTGTATGTATGTATGAAGATGCTAGATTCCCTGGAACTGGAGTTACAGACAGTTGTGAACTGCCACATAGGTGCTGGGAATTAAGCCCAGGTTCTTTGGAAGGACAGCCAGTGCTCTTAACTGCCGATCCATCTCTATAGCCCTTAACACATCTTAAACGGGGATGGGTCATTAAGAGAGAGGTGCTCTGGGAATGAAGGCACACACAGTGTAGTGTGCGTGTGGGCTCCTCTAGGGAGAGTAGCAACTAAGTATCTTAGCAGTAGACTTGTGTACCTTTTTGTTACTATCAAACATCTCAGAGGGTCGCAGGGAAATTTTTCCCTTTTCTCTCTTGGATGCCTGATAATTCGCTCCAGTGGTGCCTCCATGAGATTATAATCTGATTAGGTCAATCTAGATGTTACTAGGATTGCAGAAGGGGATCAGGACATGTCCCTTTACTGTAAAGGACTTTTCTGATACGATTCTAAGAAAATCACAGCTTTACAGCCGGAAGGGAGAAAGGCATTAAGTAAATGTTGTTGACTGTGTTGAAATTCTTTCTAAAGATTTAATTTAAATCATGTGTATGTGGGTATGTGCATGTGGGTGCTGGTATCTGAAGAAAGTAGGCAGTCAAATCTCATGAACTTGGGGTTACAGGCAGTTGAGAGACAGCAAGCAGGGGTGCTGTGAACTGAACTCCGGTCCTCTTTAGGAGTAGTACAGTCTCGGCTGCTGAGCAGTGCACAGTCCGACTGCTGAGCAGTGCACAGTCTCACTGCTGGGCGGTGGACTGTCTCTGCTGCTGAGCGGTGCACAGTCTCGGCTGCTGGGTGGTGGACAGTCTGGGCTGCTGAGCGGTACACAGTCTCAACACCAGACCCATTTCCTTTTTATCTGAGTGAGATAGGGTCTCACTGTGCAGTTCTAACTGGCCTGGAACTCATGTAGACCATGCTGATCTCAAACTCACAGAGATCTTCCTGCCTCTGCCTCCCAGGTGCTGGGATTAAAGGTGTGTGCCAGCATTGCCCAACCCAATTTATATCACTTTTTTTTTTTTTTTTTTGGTTTTTTGAGACAGGGTTTCTCTGTGGTTTTGGAACCTGTCCTGGAACTAGCTCTTGTAGACCAGGCTGGTCTCGAACTCACAGAGATCCGCCTGCCTCTGCCTCCCGAGTGCTGGGATTAAAGGTGTGCGCCACCACCGCCCGGCAATTTATATCACTTTTAAAGTGCCCAGTCAAGGAGCTATTGGGAGATCATAAGCTTCAAAATGCATTCTGCCTTAGCAGCAGTTGCCACCTCAGGCAGCTCACAGTCATCTGTAACTCAAATTCCAAAGGGGTCCGAGACTTCTGGCCTCCCTGGTGAATGAAAAACATAATAATAAAATAGAAAGGAAGGGAAAGGGAAGGACTGCTCCTAGGTGTGGAGGAGAAGGTTTACTGCAGATAAAAGGGAGAACATAGGCAGAGGTAGGGACATCTGGGAGAGTCCAGAGTGGACATGACCCCAGCCATGTCAGGAGAGGGGGGAGGGCAACAGAAAGGGGAGGGGGGAACCAGGTGCAGCAGCCCAGAGGGCAAAAGGTAAAAAAAATAAAGAGGTGGTGGGCGGATAACCAAAACAGCTAGAATATATGGGGAGAGCCTCTGGGGGAAGGGCAGCCCTTCCTTCTGGGCTAAGAGCTGTTGGAGGTAGGGGGCGGGGCATCGTAGCCTTACTCTGTGACAGGTAGGGACTGAGAAATCTGGGAGAACCTGAGGGCCAGGTCCACTTTCGGTGTTAAATAGACACCTCAGCCATTCGTCCTAGGGTTTGAGCCTTAATTAACATCAGGCACCTCCACTCGGGCACACATATCTGCACACAGACACACATCTGGCCCTCTGGCAGCAGCCCATCTTTGTTAAGAACCTACCACCATATAAGATGTGGTATATATAAAGCTTTTAGGAGCTGCCCCTCCACAGGCCCCGAAGAAGACACATTAGACTCTTGTCCTTGGCTGGAGGGGCTTAGACTGAGTCAGTCATTTTCTTGGTTACCATCTTAGTTAACAGTCCCAAAAGGTGAATCTCACTGAAGGATCAGGGGTAAGGGGGTACTTGGGGACTAAACCTAGAAACTTTAAAGTGGGCAAAAAAAGGAGCCAGAAAGGGAGGAAAACCGTAAGGGATGCCAATCAAGGGTTGACCGGGACTCAGCCATATTGAACTTAAGAAACCACAGGGCGCACTCTCCTGACCAGGGAGGGATGCACTAGGGAGAAAGGCCGTAAGCAAGTGTTGACTATGTTGAAATAGTGCTCGCTCAGGGACATCTATGTCCCCGTCTCCAGAAAAGTGCATATGGTAAGTCGCAAGGAAAGAAAAGTTTATGTTCCAGATGGAATGAGATGTACTAATTAGTTGAGTTTAAAACAGGGCAATTATCTTTGAATTATTGGGGTGAACCAGATTATGGGGATAATTGCAGATTTCCTTAAGAATGTAAGAGATGTGGCCCAGGCCTGGAATCCCAACTATTCAGAAGGTTGAGGCAAGAGAATTGCATGACCAAAAGCAACTTGGAGAGGAAAGGGTTTCATGTTAGAGGTTATGGTCCATCGTGGAGGAGGTCAAGGCAGGAACATGGAGACGAGAAATGACACAGACACTATGGAGGAGCGACTCTTACTGGCTCGCTCCCCTGCTCTTGCTCAACTTGTCCCCCTTTCCCCCCTTCTTCACTGAAAATATTTTTATACAATACATTCTGATCATAGTTTCCTCTCCCTGATCTTCCCCACTTCCAAATACATCCAACTCAATGCCTTCTTTCTCTCTCCCTTTAGAAAACAAACAGGCAAATAAACCAGAATTAAAACAAACAATCCAAGGGAGGAAAAACAATGAAAAAAACACATGCACAGGGCTGGAGTGATGGCTCAGAGGTTAAGAGCACTGCCTGCTCTTCCAGAGGTTCTGAGTTCAATTCCCAGCAACCACATGGTGGCTCACAACCATCAGTAATGAGATCTGGTTACCTCTTCTCGTAACATGTAGGAAGAATCCTGTATATATAATTAATAAATAAGTCTTTAAAAAAAAAACACAGGCACACACACACATACCATAAAAAAAAAACATAAAATGAGAAACCATGATATATAAACAAAAGATCAGTAAGGGGGAAAATACCCAAACAAAGCAATCTAAAAATTGCATTGAGTTCGTTTTGTATTGGCCATCTACTGCTGGGCATGGGCCATATCCAGAGGTGTGGTTTGTATACCCCACTCCATGAGACTCCATTGGAGAAAACACATTTTTCTTTTGCAAGCAGTTTTCAGTTGGAGACAGCTTCTTGGTTAGGGATGGGAGCTCATGCCCACATCTCCTCTCAGCGCTGGAGCCCTGTCTGGCTTGGACCTCTGCAGACCCTGTGCACACTGCCAGTCTCCCTGGGTTCTTCTGTGTTCTTGCACTCTTTCTGCCTCCTCTCCCTCCCTTCTGCATGGATAGCTCTTTGAGCCCTGAGGGGTTTAATATGATCGCCTCTCTTACGTCCTCTAGTGTTTGGGACTTACACATATGTTCTGCTCATACTGCAACAGATGATGACTACAAGAAGCCAGACATCCCCCAGAGTGGGAAGAAAAATGGAAAGGGAGGGAGGGAGAAGGAGGGAGGAGAGAGAGAAGAAGAAGAAGAAGAGAGGGGAGAGAGAGAGGTTAGACGGAAAGATACAGATGTGTGGGTGCTTGTTTCAGACTGGCTCTTGCCTGCCCTAAGAAATCATTACATAAAAATTGGCTCCAAAACGTTCCAGCATTAACGTAACTAACATTAGGTCACTGTTCTCCAAGCAAAGGCCTAGCTGTGTATTCATCCTCTTGGTTTCCTACTTGGAATCCACGGCACCCTTACCTTTGCCCTAAGATGGGCTATCTTCCTTGCTAATCTTTGGTCAGAGGCCACTAGAGATAAGACTCACAGACTCTTCAGCCTGCTGCTCACTGATTGTCCTTAGCATTCACTCTGGGTCAGCAGTGTGCTAGCCGGTTGGTGCAGACAGTTCTGGAGTTAGACCTGGCTTCTGCAGCTCCAGAACTGAACCTTGACAGATAAGACGCAAGATGGGGATTGGGCAAGGTGAAGGTGGCGCAGGCTTGTAATCTAAGTACACAGAAGGCTGAGGCAGGAGGACCATGAGTTTGAGTCCAGATGGGGCTATACAGTCAGTTCAGAGTAGCCTGCATACGTAGGAAGATCGTGCATCAAAACAGAATAAAACACAAAACAAGCAAAGCACCTAGAGCAAACAAGGATGCAAGCTGAGGGTAACGGAGTGAGTAGTGGCAGGAGAAGAACAGGGATGGCTCATCTAAACTCTCCGGCACTCTGCTGTGGGACACAGGCAGCACACAGCGTTTCCTTTCCCAGGTGCCATTCAGCTTTGACCTTGGCTGGAGTTCTCTGAGCACTGACTGTGCCTTCCTGTTCTTCAGCACCTGTAGAAGTCAGCAGATCTGTTTCCTCCTAGGACAGTGTGGTTTCAACCCCGTTGCTTGTCCGGGAGACCCAAGTGACGGATGGGTGGTTGCATCCACGAGTCTTTTCACCCGGAGAGTGTCCGATTCATGAGTGTCCGATTCACATGAGGCGGAGGTACCGCCTGACTCTTGGCACCTGGCAATTTCTTAGTTCCAGCCTGGCATCTAGATGATTCAGCTTTTCTGAGATTTTTCTTCAATGCATCCATTCATGTCCTTGCCTAAGGAGTCTCCTTAATCCGCACTCCACTCACCCAAACGACTTGCTGTGGTCTCCTAACATAAGTCTTTGCCTCCATCTCCCATCCCAGCCTGTTTATAAGTTTCCCCCAGTGTTATTTATCTCAGGCACAGCACAGATGATGCTGCACCCCATCCTGAATACCCGGGGAAGAGCCTCTGTCTATACAGGGTTTTTCTGTAGCTTTGGAGCCTATCCTGGAATTAGCTCTGTAGACCAAGCTGGCCTCAAACTCAGAGATCCACCTGCCTCTGCCTCCAAGTGCTGAGTGCTGGGATTAAAGGCATGCACCACACCCCCGCCCAGCTGAGGCTCTCATTCTTGAACCCAGCAAGAAACTAGTGGTGAAGCACACATCAGTTCGCTGCATTCGTGCCCAATGCAAGAGTCTAAGACCCCAGGGACTCATGAAGAAAGGCCAACCCTTTGAAGTTCCTGGGAAAGCTTATAAGTGTTCACACTTCCCCAGTTTAAGACCATTGCTGCCTTACATTAAAGGTCATCCCATAGTCACCCCAGTGTCAGAGACTTGTCCTTATCCTTGAAATGCACATGAGAAACATCAGAATTTATGGAGCTCAAGAACAGCCAGTGTCTCTTCCGGTTTTGGTATTTAATTTAGCATGCGTGTGTCTGGGGGGGGGGGTGACAGAACTTTTCCTGGAGACACAAAACACACTCATCTTCTCACCCCAGAAGGGGAACTCAGGACAGACCAAAGTACAGTACCACCAGAGTCCAACTTGATGACCCAATAGGTCTTATTGGGGTTATTTACAGCAGTATGCCCGGGGAGCAGAAATGGCTCAAAGGCAACTAAATCACCAAGGCCCACCCAGCATGGGTGACAGCTCACAAAAGTTGGAAAACCTGGAGCCACAGGCAGCTCAGTAGTTTTGAGAGTATCCTTTCAGTTGGTCTAAATCTCTTCTCGGCAGTTCTGTCTGAGTCTTTGCAGCTGGGCTCTGCTTACCCCTGCAGGAAGGGACCTAATGAATCTGGTCATTTTCCAGGACTTCCGGAGCTGTTTTTGTGTTGTTTACCTCCCTGCTGAAGGAGCTCCCTTGCAGGATGGAATGTTTTGATGTCAGAGGAGACTGTTACACAACAGTGGGGTGTGTACCTTGTACATGCATGTGTGTCTCATGTACATGTGTGGGGGGTGCTCATGTATAAATGCCAAAGGAGGGTCTTGAGTGTTGTGGTTTGGCACCCCCTTTTATCCCTTTAAACCAGGGTCTCTCACTAAACTGGGCGCTAGGCTGAGGGACTGCAAGCCTAGCGCCTCTTCCTGTCTCTGCCCCTTACAGGGCTAGGTTTGCAGGTGCTTATGAAGCCATGCCAGCTCTTCTGTGGGTGCTGGGGATCCGAGCTTAAGCCCTTAAGTATAGCAAGCACTGTTCCCCACTGAGCTATTTCATCTGCCTCTCATTCGGTTTTATGAGATAGCGTTTGATGTAGCGCTCACCGTGCAGCCGCGGCTGACCCTGACCTTCCGATCTCCACATCTCTACCTCCTGGCATTACAGGTGTGCGCCCCCACACCTGGCTGAGCTGGCCATGCCAACAGCGGTGCTGGTGCGTTTGCTGTCAGCTGAATGGATAAAGGATAGCAGCATTCAGACACACAGGGACATTGTGTGCACCGCCCCCCGCCCCTGAGTCCAGAGCTGTCATTTGTTTCAACATGGATGGAACAAAGGTTGTTAAGTGAAATGAATCAGGCGCAGAAAGACAAGTGCCATCTGTTCTTATTCGTATAGAGTCTAAACCACTGATCCCACAGAGGAGAGAATAGGGTTACCGGAGGCTACGAAGGCAGCGAGAAGTTGAATGACTAATAGCAAAGTGGAGCGAGGTGGGAGGAATAGCTTCAAGAGTTCTCTGCTGCACAGAGGGACTGTAGTTCACAATGATTTACTATCTGTCTCAAAAGAAGCAGAAGACTGTGAAAGTCCCCAGCACAAAGCAATACTAATTACCCCAATTTGATGATTACACCATGAACACATGTATCTAGTTAGCACCCATCCACTATAAATGTATGTAATTATGTGTCACTAACAGTAAGGCTGTACAGTCAAATGTATACATTTAATAATGTGATGCTGCGCAGGAACGCTGCCCAAACAATGTAATACAACTCTGCTAGTTACTGGTAAGTTAGTGACACCATAAGAGAAGTTTGTCTTTACGCTTTTAAAAGGAAAGCTGTGATCTCAAAGAAGGCTTAGGTCTGTCCTTATTTTCTCTCCCCTTCCTTCCTTCTTTCCCCTCCCCCTTCCATCCTCCCTCCTTCCTCCTCCTCTCCCCTCCCCCTTCTCTCTCCCCTTCCATCCTCCCTTCTCCTCTCCCCTCCCCTTTTTCTCTTCCCCTTCCCTCCCTCCTTTCCTTCTTCTCCCTCTTCTCCTCCTTGTTTTCCTTCAGGATACAGCAGAGTGACTGTTCAGCCTAAAGCTCACCCTCCACTGCCCCAGCCTCTCTTCAGCTGGGACCAAAAATACATGTTTCTGTGCCTCGCTAAAAAAAATATAAAAAGATTGCTGGGCAGTGGTGGCACACGCCTTTAATCCCAGCACTCGGGAGGCAGAGACAGGCGAATCTCTGTGAGTTTGAGGCCAGCCTGGTCTACAAGAGCTAGTTCCAGGACAGGCTCCAAAGCTAAACAGAAACCCTGTCTCAAAAAAATCAAAACAAAACAAAAGCAAATATATATATATATATATATATATATATATATATCCCAAACCAGAAAGGAAAATACTAATAATTTTGACAATACTGATTTAAAAAGTATTCAACCCACATAAAGACAACACAGAGTAGAAGTCATTATTTGTACTGTTGCTGTGCTGTTGAATCACTAATGAACAAAGCAACACTCCAGAATATGTAAAGAACTCTACAAGTAAAAAAATTAGAAAAATGAAAAATATAAGTAGAAAGTTTATAGAAGAGGACAGCTGAACTGCATGCTTGAAAATATGTTCAATCTCACCATAATCCAGGGAATGCAATTTAAAATACGATGCCCGTTTTATATTTAGCGCATTGGCAAACAAAAGGTTTAGTAAGACTTTTTATTTGTTTATTAGTATGTGTGGCATGGCCAACCTGTTGAGGCCAAAGGACAACTTGAAGGCATCTGCCTTCTCCTTCCAACATCTGAATGAGAGACCCAAGCCCCAGAAAATCCCTGATCCGTAGCCCCTACGCAGACTGAGTGGTTCAGCTCCAAGCCCCAACCCAGTGAAAGAACACACCCTAAAAATGGGACCAGAGTTGGGAAGAGGCAATTTGTCCCTGAACCAAGAGCCGGAGAAGAGTCCCCAGCCCCTGAAACCAGGACCACAAGAATACTAATTCTTAGATTCGGAGTGTGCCAAAGATATTCGCCCTAGTCCCAAAATAAGGGTCAAAAGGTAAAAAGAACCAAAGAAAGAAGCACAACTTGGCCCCAGAATCAGAGCCATCTCTGTTCCCCCCCCCCCCTCCCCAAACCAGTCAATCCCTGAGCAAGGAAAACTAACCAATAACTGAGCTCCCTAGAGGCTTGGCATTCCCCTCAGGCCCGGAGAGCGCCTTACATCATAAGGGGCAGCCAATCCCAAGCGTGGAAGTCTGGAATTCCCCTCACCTCCCACTAGGGGGCAGCCAATCCCAAGCCTCTTTTCCAGTATAACCCTCACCCCTGTTCACAGCTTGGGGTCCCTCTCGTGTTGCTGCTGCCACTTTGGATGAACAGAGGAACCCGAGCTAACGTGCAATAAAAACTCTTTGTTTTAGCATCGGAGTTGGTCTTGTGGTGGTGATTTGGGTTCCAGCTTTCAGTTGTAACATGAACTCCAGTGATTGAACTAAATCATCAAATTTCGTGGCAAGTACTTTTGCTGGAAACATGGGGGAGCTTGGTTCTCTCCCTCTTAGCTGCTTTATTACTTCTGTGTATCATGTGGGTATGAGTGTATCTGCACGTGTGTGGGGGCATGTGTGCTCATGCCTGCACCTGTGGAGGCCAGAACAGGACACCAGTCTTGCTCTGTCGCTCTCAACCTTATTCCTTTGAGACAGAGTCTCTCCTTGAACCTGGAGCCAGCTAGCAAGGAGCTTGGTGCTCTCTCACCCACGCTCATTTCATCTTGACGTCGGATGTTGTCTGGTAAAGGTGAAGCTGTACACACCCTCTCACCCATCAGTGCCTCTTCTGGGTGGATGCAGGCACAAAGGGTGTGTGCAATATATAAAAATGAGAAATACAGTTCCATCGAGAAGGGTGTGTGTCTACAATTCCTGCACTCGGTAGGCTGAGACAGAGAGGCCTTGTCGCAAAAAACAAAAAGGAAAGAAAGAAAGAGAAAGAGATGGAGTGTGGGGGTCCACTGTTGCTGGCCTCTTATGGCAGTAAGGACAAGGTTTCTGGAGGCCGAGGAGACATGCATTCTTCTCTGGGGCCTTCGGTAAACCCTGTCTCTGACACATGTTATCTGTTACTATAGTGTGTGTCTGTGTGTGTGTGCACAGAGAGAGAGAGAGAGCGTTCCTGTAAACGCATGTGTGTGTAAGTGTGCATGCGTGGGGTGGGGGCAGAGATGAATCTCAGCCATCATTTTTCAGGAACTGTCCACTTTGTTAGACAAGTTTCTTATTGGCCTAGACTTTAGTTGTCAATTGGGCTATGCTGCCTGGCCAGTGAGCCCCAGGGGTCTACCTGTTCCTATCCTGCCAGAGCTGGGATTACAGTTGAAGGCCACCATCTTTAGTTTTTGTTGTTTGTTTCTTTGGGGGGGAGGGATGTTGAGACAGGATTTCTCTGTGTAGTCCTGGTTGTCCTGGAACTCATTCTGTAGACCAAGTTGGCCTTAAACTCACAGAGATCCGTCTGCCTCTACCTCCCAAGTACTGGGATTAAAGGTGTGCGCCACCACCGTCACCCATCTGTTGTTGTTTTTAATGTGGGTTCTTGGGACAGAACTCAGTTCCTTGTGGGTTTTTTTTTTTTTTTTGATTTATTTATTTGTTGTATAGACAACGTTCTGCCTGCATGAATGCCTGCAGGCCAGAAGAGGGCACCCATATCATTGCAGATGGCTCTGAGCCACCATGTGGTTGCCGGGAATTGAACTCAGGACCTCTGGAAGAGCAGCCAGTGCTCTTAACTGCTGAGCCAACTCTCCAGTCTCTCTTTGTGGGTTTTGAAGCAAGAATTTCATGGGCTGAGCTATCTGCCTAATCCTGCTAGCGCAGTGTTTCTGAGCAAATTTTACCTAGATATCTCTGGAGGGTGTGTGTGTGTGTGTGTGTGTGTGTGTGTGTGTGTGTGTGTGTGTATTGTGAATGCCTGGCTAGCTGCTGGGTACTGTAGTAAAGAAAACTGTCTAGGACCATTGCTTCATCTTTCTGTCCTCGTGAAAAGCTACCTGGAATATTCACCCTAAAGGAGGGAAGAATGATTTGGGATCGGTTTCTGAGGTTTCCGTCCCTGGTGCTTGGCCCTGTGGCTTTGGGCATCATGACTGGGATCATGGCGGTGCAAAGCTGCCTAACCCATGGCATTCTGGGAAGGAGAGAGGGAGTGGGAAGAGAAGTGGGGAAGGGACTCAGGGTTACATGTCCTCCTCAAGGACACTTCTTGAGATACTCAGGTACCATCCCCCAAAGGTTCCACTGCCACCCAGGAGGGCCTTAGATGGAGAACCAGGTGTTCTCCATCTATGGCAAACCAGGTATTTATCATCTGTCATTTGCTATCCAAACTCCACCAGCTAGATCTTAGGACCCATCCTTATACCATGACTTTCAAAGATGGGTTCCTTGGTGGTAGTGTGTTGTAAGGAGACTACTTGTTTGTTCCCAGCTGCCCAGACACCCAAAATAACCACACAGAAACTGTATTAATTAAATCACTACTTGGCCTATTAGTTCTAGCTTCTTATTGGGTAGGTCTTACATACTAAACTAACCCATCTCCATTAATCTGTGTATCACCACATGGCTGTGGCTTACCGACAAGGTTCCAGCTCATCTGTTTTCGGTGGCAGTTACATAGCATCTTCCTGACTCAGCTTTCTTTCTCCCAGCATTCAGTTTAGCCTCCCCCAGCTCTGTTCTGTCCTGCTACAGTCTCAAAGCAGTTTCTTTATTCATTAACCAATAAAAGCAACACATAGTCAGAAGGACTTCCCACATTAGTAGCGGAAGCAGTGCATGCCTTTAATTCCAGCATTTAGGAAGCAGAGGCAGGTGGATCTATGAATTAGGGGCTAGCCTGGTCTACAGAGTGAGTCAAAGAGACACAAAAAATTACAGTCTCTCTGTACAGTCTTCTGTACAAAGACAGAAAAGCCAGTCCCTAGAGCTCTGTATCTGCTCCCCACTCCTATCCCCGGAACCTGATGGGGAAGCACATTTGGGGGCCTACTGCACCTGATCTGTTGACTGACACTGGGGAGGAACAATCTGTGCTTTGGTGACCCTTCTAGGGGCATTCTGGTGCACACTCTAGTCTGGGAACCTCTGCTCTGGTGTGATCAAAGAAACACTGCCACCTTCAGGCACCCAACACAAGGAGCTGGGTGTCCCACCAAAGGTTGTTGCAGGATTCCCAAAACAAAAGAAATTTTCTTCAGATTCTCACATGCTGCCCTTTCATCAGGGCCATAGATGCCACCTAGGGATAGCCCGGGTCTCTTTGACAGCTTCTGTGGGCACTCCTAAAACTGCCTATGTTGGGCAGCATTCTATATAGTATGAATTCTAATTGTTCTTAATAAAAACCCGGAGTTAGATATTAGGGGTGAAAACTGAGAGCTCAGAGAAGCAGTGCAGACAGTCACTGCAGAGACCTTTTACCTCGACCGAATCCTCAGACAAAGGGGCGATCCTGTCTGCAGACTGCATGCTCAGACTGACTGCATTCCAGATTACATCTGTCTCCACCAACCTCAGACTGCATCTGAGTTCCTGGCTCCTCCCGCCTTATAGTCCTCTCTCTGCCCAGCCATATCCCTTCCTGTCTCCACCTCCCTAGTGCTGGGATTAAAGGTTTGGGACTCCTAAGTACTGAGATTAAAGTGTAAGCCACAACCACCTGGCCTCTAGTGGCTTAGCTCTGTACTCTGATCTTCAGGCAAGCTTTATTTGTTAAAACTCAAACAAAATATCATTACATCACCCTAGTGATAGAGATCAGTCTTCCTTAGAGGTACTTGGAGGATGACAACCATGAGTGTCATCCTCAGGAATGCCATCCTTCTCATTTGAGGCAGGGTCTCTCCCTGATCCGGAGCTCACTAATTGGACTAGATTGACCGTCCACCAAACTTTAGAATCTGCCTGTTTCTGCTTTGCCGGGACTGGGAGTACTAGCGTGTGCCACCATGCTCATCAATTTATGTGGGTTTGGGGAGCAAACCTACACCTTACATGCTTGCCCAGTAAGCTGTTTATTGAGCCATCTCCCTAGTCTCCTTACCTTGACGTTTACATCCAAAGACAGGGCTTTCCTTTCTTCCCGCCCCTCTGTTTAGGGAAGGATCAGGAAATCCATACAGCACTTCTACACATCCTGTCTCTGGGGCTATGCGTTATTTTTCTGGAACAGCCTCTCAGTACCACAATTCCACTGCCCCATCTGTATCTAGAGTTTATCACTTCAAATTAGCCTCAAACGCCATTTCCTCCCTCTTTAGCCAGAAACCACTGCAGAGCCCGATCAGCTTCTGGAAACTGCCATCTGTCTGCCGCACTCTGCCTTGTTCCAGTTGTTTATCCATGTCTTTCTAGGCTGGGAATCTTTTATTCAAACATCGTAGACAAGATGATTTCCTCTAACAATGCAAAGCATATCTTCTAATGCAAGGCTATAAAAATGTATTATTCAGAAGTGTGATGATGCGGTGTTTGTCCTTCGGTGGCTGGAATGAGCAAGACACGTAGCTATATACGAGGTGACAGTTGCTGTCACAGCTTAGAATCCCTGTGGTCTGGAAATAGTTCTGTTAGGGAAGAAATGCAGGCAGGAGAGGTGGGACAAGTCTATAGGAAGAAGTCACTCCAGGAGCTACTGAGGACGTCATGAAAGACACAGCGTGGAGACCAATCAGTGTCTTCCTCTCCTCGTGTAGGTGGCAATGGCAGAAACATGAGGGGGGTAAGGATAGAAGGACAGAGCTGGGGAGGTGATTTAGTAAATGTCTGCATTGCAAGCATAGGAATTGATTTGTATCCCCAGAATCTATATAAGAAAGTTAGGCATGGTGGCAGGAGCTTGAAATCCTTGGACCTCACTGGCCAGCCAGCCTAGCAGAATCCGGCAAGCTATGGGTGAAGATGAGAGAGCCCATCTCAAAAACAAAACAAACAAACAAAAACACCAAGGTGGGGGCTGGGCACTCAGGAGGGCAACGCCCGCCTTTCAGGGTCTCCTACCGATAACTCCGTGTGGAATTCGAGACTTGGTTGTTACACGCACTTCCTCGTCATTTGTGACATTTAGAGTGGCGATTTTCACTCTGGGGATCTCTGCTGTATTTCAAAGAGATTTACCCCCATTTCCTTAAAGAGTATGTGTATTTATTCATTAACATTAGTCAAGTTGAGCTCTGAATTACAATTTCCCTCCCAGCGTGTTTGGCTCAATGTCTCACTCTGGCCAGCAGGCGGCAACATAACCCAGTGGTCTGAGTCAGGATACGCGTTGCTGGAGTCTGGCGCAGAGAGAGTAGTCGCTTCTCGGTTCTGTGCGTGCTCCCACCCCCCACCCCACCGCCTTCTATAACCTGCAATGCGGGGAA